CCACCATCCACGAAGGAAAAATTCTTGACATTGATCTGCACTGTGTGGGCATTCTCATTATGAGAGTTGCTGCCCTTGATGCACAAGTTCTTGCTATAGGTCTACACTATTTTGTTCTCTTTTCTAAGAAGAAATACAAATAGTTTATCAAACCTAATTTGACTGTACAATTTACACACTTTGTTCGACATTCTTAAAACTTGTGTTTCACAATATTGCCACCGTGTTTCTAGAAGTAGATCTAGAAATTTTAAAAATAAATTATTCCCTTTTCGATCATTTGCTTCTCTGAAACCTAGTACTATATATACCGCATAAAAATAAATCAATTGATGAATTCGAATAATTTCGATCTCAAAGTAGCATTGTTCCATAAAGCTGATTTTGAAAAAAATATATATTTCTGGATTTATTACTAGGGAACTCTTATAAGTCCAATGGTGTCCTTGAGCATTTAAAATAAAAATAATAATAACTCTTGAGACACAAATACATTCTGTTTCAGTGTACTCCAACAGGGGCGTATCCAGGATTTTTTTTTCGGGGGGGGGGGGGGTATCCATATCAATTCTAACAAATATCAGACTCCGATATTTTTGACGAGCCAAAAAAAGTGACCAACTTGCACAGACCTGGAGAGCCTAGATCGTGAGGAGAGAGACGTGGGCACATTTCTAAGTCAATTTTCTTCCATGGCTTTCCTTGACATTCTAAGACGATCAATGTTTCCTAGGTGGTCCAAGGTCATTTTTGTCTTAACTTTTACATAGAAATTAAATAACTCTGAAAACTCCAGAGGGACCCTGACCTCCTCCCCTGACCCCCTCTAGATCCTCCCTTGTTCAACTTCAGCCAGAAATGAATATATGTAGAAAGTGTCTCGTTTTTATATATACATATGTACATGTAATGGTCCAATGTATGAGTGAAAAATATCATATTTTAAATTTATATTCTCGCCCATTATTGATTTGGCCCAGTCCACAAACTTTCTGAACATTCCTCGTTCATGTGTCATTTGATACTGGAAATTCCAACGTGGATCTTGTCAGAAAAATGGGAACTATGTTGTCTTAATTGGTGAAAAAGTAAGATATCCACATTTATCGCTGTTAAAAAATAGTTACGATTTTTATCTTGCATAATTTCTTTAATGAGCGATGCTTAGTTAGAAATAACCAGCTTACGTAATATCGGCTTAGTTAGAAATAACCAGCTTACGTATTATCGGATTTTTAGCTCACCTGGGCTGAAAGTTCAAGTGAGCTTTTCTGATCACCCGTTGTCCGTTGTCCGTTCGTCTGTAAACTTTTCACATTTTCAACTTCTTCTCAAGAACCACTGGGCCAATTTTAACCAAACTTGGTACAAAGTATCCTTGGGTAAAGGGGAGTTTAAAATTTAAAAATAAAGGGCCAAGCCCCCTTCAAAGAGGAGATAATCAAGAAAAGACAAAAATTGGGTGGGGTCATTAAAAAATTTTCTTCTCAAGAATCACTGGGCCAGAAAAGCTGAAACTTACATGGAGGCATCCTGTGGTAGTGTAGATTCTAAATTGTTCAAATCATGAATCCTGGGGGTAGGGCGGGGCCACAATAGGGAATCCAAGTTTTACATTGAAATATGTAGTAAAAATCTTGAAAAATCTTCTTCTCAAGAACCACTGGGCCAGAAGAGCTGAAACTGATGTGGAAGCATCCTGGGGTAGTGTTGATTCTAAATTTTACAAATCATGACCCCCGGGGGTAGGGCGGGCCCACAATAGGGAATCCAAGTTTTACATTTACAATAAGTACTACAAGGTGGGAAATCAGGTAAAGAACAGCAGGGCCAGTTACTCAGGTGAGCGTTGTAGCCCATGGGCCTCTCTTTTTTTTTTTTTAATCTTTCCTGTCTGCCATTTCAGATGTTCCTACTAATCCATGATGGAAAATTCCATTAAGCTTGATAAACTTCTGAAGTACCTGATTGACCCTATATAATTTTCAAAGGGATTTAGTACATGTAAACCACGTACATGTAATTTGAAAATGTTTTTTTTTTTAATAGAATTAAGGAATAAAAAGATAAAAGTCGGATTTAAAATTATATTTGATTAAATATAAAATTTCTTTTTTTTTCTTGATTAAATGCAAATGATAGATTTAATATACTAAAAAACAAAACAAAACAAAAAGCAAAAAAAGGGGGGGGGAGCTTATGGCGAAGGGTAAAGTTTCCCAAATGCAAGTCAATCTCCAAGGTCAGGGTCAAGAGAAAAGCCTTATGTCAATGGATATACCTGGTAAATATGAAAACCCAAGCACCAACAATTCAAAAGTTACGGTCAAAGTAATAATGTTTTCTAAAAGTACGTTAAACTCCAAGGTCAAGATCAAAGGGTCAAAATTAATGGTACGCAGGGGAATACCTTGCAATTAGAAATACACATGCAAAATATGAAAGCACCAACTGTTCAGAAGTTATGGCGAAGGTTAAAAGTTTTTCGAAAGTGGGTCAAGCTCCAAGGTCAAGGTCAAAATTGTTGGTATCCAAAGGAAGGTCTTGTCACAAGAAATATACCTGTGAAATTTGAAAGCCCTTGTTCTAACCGTTCAAAAAGTTATGGCCAAAGTTAAAGTTTTTTAAAAGTGGGTCAAACTCTAAGGTCAAGGTCAAAAGGTCAAAAATATTTACACCCATGGAAAGTACTTGTTACAATAAATATGCATGTGAAACATGAAAGCCCTAGCACCAACTGTTCAAAAGTTATGGCCAAGATTAAGGTTGGGTATTTTTTTTTTTTTTTTTTGCTAAATTGGGTCAAACTCCAAGGTCAAGAGGTCAAATATGTTGGTACCCAAAGGAAGGTCTTGTCACAAGTAATACATATGTGAAGTATGAAAGCCATAACTCCAACCAATCAAAAGTTATTGGCAATGTTAAAGTTTTTTGCGGACAAACAGACAGACAGCTAGACAGACAGACGTTGCGGATAGGGCAAAAACTATATAGCGCCGATTCTTTGATTACGTAGGCATAAAGAAAACAAGAGTAGAATGCTCCCTCTTCTCCCAAGTTATACCAACAAAATACATTACAGTTATTATTTTTACATGGAGGCGCTATTTTGCAAAGTATATTCAAAAGAGGTGCACGGATTTTATCATTCTTGCTAGAATTTAGAGAAAATAGATACAGTGTTAAGGACAAATAAGTTGTGAATTTAGGTAAAAACTTCATTAATTTTATCCTTTGTACATTTCCAGTTACTACAAGGACAAAAGTAACAAAGAAATACATAAGTCAAATGTGATTAGATGCCCTGTTTACAGAGGGAGTTTAATTTAATTAAACGTAAACTCTGTTTAATTCGAATTAATTAAACTCGCATTATTTTACTTCGCTTTAATTAGTAAAAGTTAAATGCGCATTCGTGCGAACAGGGCATAAAAACTTATCTATCGTTTTATGGTCAACATCAAATATGAAGTTGTCAGTTTTCTTAATCCTTTTTTAGAATCTCTGAATGTCATGTAGTTCGCGATTGATTAAAGTACATACAGTGCAAAGAAAAATAGCCAAGCAACATTCTAGAAAAAAGAATTTCCGTCCTTAAAAATATCATGTTATGTAGTTTGTCAAGAAACTGAACTTCCTGATGTCCCAGAAGGAAACATGCAATACTCCCGCCTATTGGTGTACACTATTTTAGGATCCCTAAATATATGTCATAAAAAGGTTTAGTTTTCAGCTTACATACAAAGAGATGTAATTCACTATGTGCAATAATAGTAATCACTCGTGTCTAAAGCACATTTACATTCTTAAGTTTCCGGGAAAATGACAGTTTACTTAAACTCTCAAAAAATAACCGGAATATAGGTCATAATGTGCACTCCCGCTTTTGCAATTTTGATTTTCCATTTTTCTGAAAAGTTACTCTTTTTCACTCAAACAAAAAGGAGAAACACATTATAGAAAGAAAATTTGGAGAAAGTGAGAATAAAATAATTTTTAACTATAGCATTATTCGTCGAAATATGTGACAGAATTTTTTATAGTACAAGGTTTCTGTCAAATAGCTGTGCTATATGTGACAGACTTTATAATACAAGGTTTCTGTCAAGAAGTTATGCTTCAAAAGCACTTGAAGAGAAGAACTGTGAATCAATTGAAAGACTCATTTCTTCAAACATAACATCTTTCTTTGAGTAGAGCGCTCGTTCCATGATCGGAACCGGACTGCGACAAACCCCAGTCGATATAAAATAGGTAGCAACTGTTCCTTTGCCAAGCGCTCGGCAATTTGAAGTGAAAATTGTGTTTCTTTCTGATGAGACCTTAAAAACCGAGAGAACCCTCACTGCTAAATGACCTTGAGTACCGAGTATAAAGATCTAAATTTAAATCTGGTGACGTTTCATACGAGTCTTGCTGGGGACGTAAAACTGCAAACAAACAAAAAAATCTTTCTTTAAAATTAATTGTACAGGTCAAGTAGGATTTTGAAAAAGATAAAGAAACTTATTTTAGTAACATTGCAATATAATGACAATCATGATTTATTGCAAATGGTGGGGTCAGTCTACAATTTCACAGGTTAAAATGAAATCAGAAACTTCAAATCGAAAATTGTTATAAAAACGTGTACAAATACACAAATAGAGTGACAACGGACACATTTACCAATGCAATACACGAAGGTAAATAGAGAAAACGAGGCTTTTATAATACATGAAGTTTATTTCAATGGTATTAAGTAGCATTAAAATAAAAGTTCCTTTAATGAATAAAGGTTCATTAAAACAACTCCACAAAAAAAAATCTTTGATACAACAGTACCACTCATATCATTTGCAATGCAATAAACAGTGTAATTGATGGTAGCTAAAAGTCATGGTACAAATATTGTGAACGATAGGTCACTTCACATATACTGTTAATATATATTTATTAATTGACATTTCTTTGTTTCTTTTCAAAGTTGTCAATAATATAAAATACAAGTGCATCTAAAAAGAAAAAGAAAAAAGATATACAGTACACATTATAATATTTGTATTATGCTCTGTAAATATCAAAATGCTTTAACAAAAAGTCAAGATTTCTTTTAAAAATACATTGCATTACCTTACACATTAATTAATGCATTAGATTAGAATATGAATTCTGCCCAAATTAATCTTCACCGAGATTCATCGAGACAAAGTTTTGGCTTGCCCACACATAGTTTTCTTTACTATAAATCATAGCACGACGTATTATGAAGCAGACAATTTACTAGTATGACTCTGACTGGAAGTCTTCGGAATCGAAGGTTTAAACAAATATGGCAATGCTTTCAAAAATCAACAACTTGATTTTTTTCTTAGAAAGAAACCTTTTAAAGGTAAGAAACGAATGTTTTATAGAGATAGAGAGTTAAAAGGATGTCGAAACCGAAAAGTTAAAGCGGGCAGGGGATTCGATTCAACAATTAATAGTAATAAGCGGCCGAAGTTCGGTTAAGAATCACTTTGTATGGCAAGGGTCTGAGATTCAAAAGAGGCATCAGTACGAAATTTTTAGTCTCGGCGAATCTCGCTGAGATTATGTCCAAATAAGAACACTTATAGTAATACTTTCAAGGTACACTACATAAGAGTCTGTTGAGTACAGATGGTCACCAAGCAAGATTAAACGGCAGTCACGTGACCAGTTCTGACTTTCTCAAAGCTACATGTATCAAACTCTAATGATAGAGAGGTAATGTTGTATCATACTAAATTTACTGTATATGTGTAATGTGTATCAGTTACATTGATATTATTTTCGACCCGTTTTCCTGATTCTAAATGATGAGAGTTAAATCGGGGCTTATTTAACAAAGTGACAAGTGTTTTTAAGTAGTAAAACATGAAAGATTGAATTTTAGGAGGGATGCGTCATTTTCTAATCAGTGGGACAATGTCATTTTAAATGCAGATTGTGCTTAAAATAACACTTGGTTAAAATTTCCTGTCTGCAGAGGTCTGTGATAAAAAATAAGATAGGCGATAAAAGTCCTTCTGTAATGACGAATTTTGTTTGATCACCAGGTAATTTCGAATTTATGATGTACATTTACATGTAGATAATGGTTTTCCGTTGCGTCTTGAAAAAAAAGTCATCCTTTCGCGCACGTCACTTTAGGGCAGCAGAAATGGCACAGAAGAATGTGCCTTTTTTATAAGACGTTTCCTAGCTCTCAACACTCTGTGTACTTATCAAAGTATTTCACAAGTCTCACGTAGCAAACTGCGGGCCGTGGTGCTCAAAAGGGCGAACAGTTGGGATAACCATCAACAGAATGATCGTAGATAACAAAGTACCGAAGATAAATACCCAGAACAAACACCTGTCAATGACCTCTGCCGCCTCCATCCAGCGCTTACACAACAGGTCAGATCTCTCCTTCTCTTCCTCCTTATCTACTAACAGCTGGAGACGAGAGAGGATTTCTCTGGTCACCCATGAATCGCTGCCGAGTTCCACTTCCCTCACGTGACCAGTAATTTTGCTGTTCATCTCACACTTTTGCTTTGTACTGTTGTTTTCATAGTCAATCAGAGCACAACCTGAATCATTTGAGAAAGTCGTGTGCATCTGATAATACTTTTCTTTTGCATGTTCATCATCCTTCGCTCGACAATCTGTGTCTCTTACATACGTAAGTTTCATACAGTTCAGCTTTGCACAAAATATAACTAATTTTCGGAACCACCTCGGAAGATCCACCTCTTTGAATCCTCTAACGTTAATGTTTGACGTCACAACAGCCATGATGACGGAAAAGGATGTCAGAGACATCACTGTCGTGAGATAAATACCTGATTTAAAAGAGAGAAAAGTAAAATTATTTCTGTTTAATCATCTTTTAATCATTACGTCTCTATATGAGTGAAAAATTCTCAAACGGGACGTTAAACAACATACAATCATTCTTTTAATCATTGTTTTATTCAAACAGGTCCTTAAAACTTCTATGCTAATGAAATCACCATTAAAACAATGCCATTCATACTTTTTTTTACAAACTATATAGCAGTCAACGAAATACTAGTATTTTGCACCGTCTACATGTCTGTTTTTGTGGCTGAGTCTTTTTTTCTTATTTTTTTACGATACAAAACACAACTAGCAAGGAATGATTAAATTTGACTTTGATGAATTATACGGGAGAGCAATTTGAATTGTTGAGTGAAATAGTTGGGTTATGATCTAAATGATGAATGCTAATGCTTAGTGAACATTGAGAAATTCAGGAAATATCTTATTCATTGTTTGGAAGATGAACCATTGCCCTATAATTAGAAAATAAAGATGGATAGACAAGCTTTCTGTGTTTTGTGGTTCTTAATTTGCAATAGCAGAAGCGAAAGCTGTATTCAATAAATAGGACGACCACTGAGGAATGCGAGATCTAAGATTCTGTAGATACCATGGAATCAAAGGCAATACAAGATAATTGTTGTGATAATATTGTCATTGGAGCACGAACTGTGTCCGGCTTACTATCTTGATACTATTGAAACTTTGCTCTGAATGAGACTTCTAACCTCATTTGAACCAACTTCGCTATATGTACAGTGTATATGAAATTACCATAAAATCTTAAATCCTCATTATCTTGAAATGATTAAAAAGAACTCTGTAAACTTATTTCAGAAATTCAACATCTTTGACTATAATCAATCAATGTACATATTTATAATTGAAACTAAATCATACCTATCAATGGAACAAAGTTAGAAGTGGCTGGCATGTTTTCTGCAATGAGTAGCATAAAGACAGAAAATGCCAAGAGGACAGTAAGTCCCAGAGATACTTTCTCGCCACTTTCGGGTCGGATCCAAAATCCTACCATTGTCAAAACAGATAACATCACGCAGGGAATGATGACATTATACGTGTAATAAAGCGTGCGACGTTTGATGTGGATCCAAAACGTTACATCCGGGAACATTTCAGAGCAGCATGGGTACCGGATGTTGTGACGAATAGACTTGACACTTAATAATTCCCATTCACCATTGAGCACAAAGTTTGTCAGGTCTACTCCTTTTGTTGTATTAAAAACGTCAACTTGTGACCCGTCGTAGGCCCAACTGCCAAACTTCATCTTACATAGTTGGTCGTCGAACGGGTAATAGGTGATGTCGATTTCACAGGTGCTGCGGAACTTGACAATGGGGGGCCAGAACACCTGACCCTCATAGGACACCATAGCCAGCGCCTCCATATATCCCTCTGTGTAGTCCTCTGCACTGAAGATATATAAAAAATTTTATATCTACATTTGCAAATTTTTTTTCATATATAGCACTATTAGAGCAATGCAGACCTATCATTTTTTGAATAAAGGCCCGTCACATGACTACGAAGAATTATGATATTGTTAACAATTGAAGTAATTTCTCATTGATATCATTAGGGACTGACGCCCTTTGGGCTTCATGGGCTTTGAGCACATGACCAATCCGCATCTACCGATAGATGTTTAAAAGTCAAACCTTATCTATTTTTTAAAAAGTCTACTTTAAATTTAATATAAAGTTTACAATCTACAGTCACAAAATATCTTAATGATATTATATGTCTTGTAAAATAAATGAAATAATTAACGTATAAGACGTTATAAATCGAAAGTAGAATTTCCACAAAGACGAGATTTAATCTTGAATTAAAGATTGAGAATCAAGAAAATTAAGATTATTGATTAAAAAGATTTATGCACAATATTTTTTAATTCCCATCATCCATTTGCAACCGAAACATACTCAAAGAAAAAATCTTCACTGAACATCTCTGTAAAAATGTAGACTTTAAAAAAGCTGTAAAGGTAATCAAGAAATTAAAACAAGAGAAGTGGTCTTCTAGCCCGTAAGATTCAGATTATAGCAAACTTTCTGGATCCAGGAAAAGCACTCAAACACCCACTCATTTTTTCAGATTTCAGCCGAGGACATTTGTACGGAAGCCCATTTAGGATCTATCAAAATATTTTCGAATTTGATATAACGAATTGTCGAAATTGATATAACGAATATAAGTCCTTAATGGGCTTTCGTACATTACATTTGTCTATTTCAACATCTCAATAAAATGTTTTCATGAGCTTGTGTCATTGGAAGTACTACTAGTCAATGTTGAACGGATATATCTAAGGTCAGATACCGTTCGCGGTAGCTCAGTCGGTAGAGCGCTCGCTCCGTGATCGGGAGGTCGTGAGTTCGGCCGCGACTGACCTAAGTCGATAAAAACTGGGTAGCAACTGTTCCTTCGCCATGCGCTCGGCACTTTGAAGTGAAAGTTGCGGGTCCTTCGGATGAGACCTTAAAAACCGAGGCCCCGTGTCACGGCAGGCGTTGGCACGATAAAGATCCCTCACTGCTCAATGGCCCTGAGTGCCGAGTAAAGGTCAAAATTTGAAGCCCTTCGCCGGTATATGGTGACGTCTCTATGTGAGTGAAAAATTCTCGAATAGGACGTAAAACAACATACAATCAATCAATCTAAGGTCAGATTACTCTGACGGATAATTGATGTTACAATTACAAAATTTCTGAATATTTGAATTTTTTAAAACAATGCAAAAAAGCATTTTTTAATATGATTTATTAATTTGCTTTTTTTTAATTAAACAGTTCATTTATTCATTTTTAATAAGAAGAAATAGATTGGACAACATTCATAGCTGTATATCTGTCTTCTTCATTAATATAATTTCCAATATACGAAAACGTTCTGAAGAACCTCGTTTACATGTACGAGTACCTGTTGAAGGCCTAAGGTATGTTTGGCTCACCTGTTGTAGAGGACTATGTCTGGTAACCAGATGTTGGTACACGGAATACGAAGTACTGTCAGATTATTATAATCATCTGGGTTCCAGCGCAACTTCTCATCCACCCAACCCTGTAATGTACAATGTTTTGTAAGAACGTGGCGATTAAGAATCACTGATAGATTGTTATAATCTGCTGGATTGTAGTTCAACATCTCTTTTAGCCAACCCTGTAATACACAAAGTTATGTAAGAATATATAATTAGGAAAGCACTGTTAGATTGTTATAATCAGCTTAGCTTTTCATCCATCCAACCCTGTAATACACAAAGTTATGTAAGAATGAGTCGATTAGGAAGCATCCAACTCTGTAATACACAACAATATGTATCGGTATGTGGATTAGAAAGACTGTGAAATAATTAGCTGGGTTTCAGCTCAATTTCTCATCCACTCAACCGTGTAATATACCGGTAAAACATTATGTAATGACGTGTCAATTAGGAACCACTGTGAGATTGTTATAATCAGCCGGGTCCCAGCTCAATTTCTCATTCATCCTCCCGTGTAATATAAAACGTAATGTAAGGACGAATATTTTAAGTTTAATACAATACGTACGCGTATTTAAATCATAATTACTGCTTTAATAAACAAAAGCCAATTGGTTACATCGATAAGCTATGCACTTTGGCTAGAATAAAGAAATCAGTTCAGTATTTAAAAGTTGAAATATGAAAGTGGTCCTACCTTACCCCCTGGTGTGATGATTTAAAAAAAAATTGAATCTACACTACCCAGGGATGCTTCTTCATATGTTTATTAATATGACTAATCATGGCTTTGCTGTTCTTGAGAAGATTTTCAAAGATATTTCCTATATATTCCGGGGTAAAACTGTAATTCCCAGTTGTGGCCCAACAAAACCTCCCGAGATCATGATTTGAAAAAAAAAAATGAATCTACACTTCATGATGATGCTTCTGAATTAATATGACTGATCATGAATTTGCTGATCTTGAGACGAAGATTTCTAAAGATAGATTCTATGTATTCTTATGTGTAACTTTGACCCCCATTTATAACCCAACCCTAATCCCCCCGGGTGGGTCCTGATTTGAACAAATGTAAATCTACAATACCTGAGAATGTATCTGATTGATTGATCGATTGTTTGTTGTTTTACGTCCTAGTCGAGAAATTTTCGCTCATATATATCTAGAGAGGTCACCATATACCGGTGCAGGGCTTCAAATTGAGACCTTTACTCGGCACTCAGGGCCATTGAGCAATAAGGGATCTTTATCGTGCCAACGCCTGTCGTGACACGGGGCCTCGGTTTTTAAGTTCTCATCCAAAAGACCCGCAAGTGCTGAGCGCTTCGCAAAGGAACAGTTGCTACCAATTTTTTATCGACTTAGGTCAGTGAGGTTTGAACCCAGGACCTTCCGATCACGGAGAGAACGCTCTACCGAGGGTAGGGTGCTTCTGAATCAATATGACTAATCGTGGATTTGCTGTTCTAGGGAAGATTTTTAAAGATATTTCCTATACAAGTATATTCCTATGCATAAGTTTGATTCCCTGTTGTGGCCCACCCTACTCCAGGGGTCAGGATTCGAACAAACTTACATGTAAATCTACACTATGTAATGAAACTTTGACATAAGTTTCATCTTTTCTGGCCAAGTTGTTCTTGAGAAGATGAATAAAGAGGAGGAGAAAACAACATTGGCGAAATGCCTTTAGATTCAAATGTATAAATTTATGAACTTAGTATTTAGAGCATAGTTCTTATTATTGATAAGGTATGAAACTATGACAAACAAAACTTTTCTGCTGAAAATTCTCCCAGTAAAAAAATATTCTCTGGTAAAAAATAAGGATTTGTTGGGAATTGAACCCATGCCATAAAAATCCTGAGTATCGGCTTTTTCTTAGAGACTGACACATTCACCACTACAGCACACAACTCATAACAGATAGCGGTATTTAAAGCTTGTTTGTTTGTTTAACGTCCATTCGAGAATTTTCACTCATATTGAGACGCCATCACTCACCAATGGAGGGCTGCAAATTTAGACCTGTGCCCGGCACTTACTGTCTTTGAGCAGTGAGGGATCTTTTTCGTGCCAGCACCTATCGCGACACGGGATCTCGGTTTATACAGTCTCATTCAAAGGACCGGGCTGTACGTTCCGCAGTGGGATTCAAACCCGCAACGTAAGGATCAACACCTCTCTCCGCGACTCTAGAGCAAACGATCTAACCACTGCGCCACGCGAACGACAAAACTTGTTTGTGATATGACATTTGATTAACTGAACTTCAAGTAATTCTCGGAAAAATAAGGATATTTTGTGTCATAAAATTGAATTTTTAAGGTCCTTGCTTCATGTTTTTGTTAAGCATAATATGAATATTTGAATATTGTTCTTATACTTTTTGTATGTATTTCATTTTTCACTTTCTTGATCATAGGCATTTTTCTCTCCTTGTTCCCGTCTCCTTTACATTAATTCTTAAGTATCTTCCCTGGAAACAGGGTTTGACTCTTCATGTGAAAAAAAGGTTTTCTTTCCCCAAAGATGCTTTGTGGCAAGTTTGATTGAAATTAACGACAGACAGACAGACACCGGATACTTTTCGATCAGAAAAGCTCACATTGGGTATGTTTGAGCCACAATCTTTTTCTATTAAAACAAGGGATAAACATTTAACTACATGTTACATTGATTTTTAACGCCATTTTGTCTCGTTCTTATGTCAAAAAGCTTCATCTTCTTCGCAAAAAAGTTTAAAAATCAGTCTTTACTTTGCAAAATAAATATTTAATTTTTACATCCAGGGTCCTTAGGGATATCTCTCTTTTATATGAAAAAGAAATTTTCTAAATATGCTTAATTTGCTTTTTTTAAAAATTAGGTTTAACTTGTGAACCTTTTGTGTCTTCAAAGGACTCCAGAGTTGATCTGATGATCCGCGCCTGTCAACGAGACCTGATCCGGCTTTTCGGAGCAAGTGACTGTTATAATGATAAATTTATTATATACACTAGACAGAATTGCTAACGCACCACTTGTTTTTCTTTATATGTGATTTGAACATTTGCCTAATCGGCACTAGTATATCTAATATGCCATCTTTTCAAATACAGTGGAATTGACTACCGTTTTTGCCCAGATACAAAGTTGATGATAATCGATGGTGGTCCATGGGGTTGCAAACAGAAGCAGTCTCTCAGTTAACAATCAGGTAATATACAACGATTAACTATCATATCGCCTAGTAGTCATCCAGTGCCTCGGTATCCATACCTAGTCCACCCAACTTCCGGTTGTCCAAATTTTGTGGATCAATCTTGAAATTGTCGCGTGGTGCTTACTTAATGCCGTGACTATCTATAGTAAACATTTTAATGTTTGTTAATCTATTTAAAACAAATTTTCACTAGAGAAATGAATAATCTTTTAATTGTATTGATTTTTTATTTCTCCAAAGTAACCCCCTGCAGACACTATACTGGCTGCTTTTGCACGCTCTTACAGGGTCAAACGCCGTACAGGGTGTGTTTTTTTAAAACGATTTTTTAATTAGAACAAACATAAAGAACACAAATACAAAGAATAAAAATAGAAAATTATTATTCCAAAAAAGCGTGCGTTCTATTTCATTATTTCTATGAAATGGTAACGCTGCAGTTAACATTGTATTTATTTATTAGTTAAGACATTTAAATGCCTCATTTTTTACTTAAGGTAGTGCATGAAACAGTCGGTTCAATGATCCCCATTTTGACACATTTTAATCTGGATTCCATTTCAATCAATCTATTGATTTTTTTGTAAAAAATGAATAATATAATTTTTCTTAAGAAAACTTAAAGTGTAGCATACTTACATGTGAATTTTCAATTCCTGGGTTATGTATGTTCTATGTTTTCGTCAAATTTTACTTAAATATACCGGTATCAATATAAGCTACTGAAAGTTAGTAATAGAAAGGTTGTGTTTATGAAAAAAGCATCACTCAAATTTGCAATAGATCAATCGGTAATTCAAAAAAAATGCACATTCTAAAGTACAATATCTTCTTACAGAGGTCTGATAGTGCATATTTCAAACTATGTGGGCAAAAATGTGCGGTGGAATTTCTTTCAAATTATATGTAAAGAGAGATTTTGTATCCTAGAACAAAATTTCAAAGTTTCAAAAAAATTAAATTTGAGGAAAAATTTGGCCTATCTATTTTATACTACCTTAAGTTACATAATTATATATTAAATACAGCAGAAACAAGTTTTGAAAAGTTAAATATTAAATTTTCTTTGGTGGTGCATTAGCAATTTTGTCTAGTGTATATACCCCTTTATTATATATAAAATACAGCATAACCAAGTTTTGAAAAGTTAAATATTAAATTTTCTTTGGTGGTGCATTAGCAATTTTGTCTAGTGTATATAACCTTTATTATTAGATAACTATGAAAAGGAAATATAAGGGATCAATCATACGACGTTTTGTATTAAGAAGAAGACACTTTCAATAAACTTTTCTGGATATGCAAGAAAGAACGTCATTAATACTATGTAGTACGTATACAACATCAATTTTAAAGAATTGGGATATGGATTCAGAAAATGTGGAAAGTCGGATCACACCGTCACGTGATTACGTGAAATCAACAGTAAAACGGAATATCATATTATCATGTAAATAACTTAAATATTATTTGTCGAGAAACATTTATCTAAAAAACAGTGTTACCTCTCTCACCCTCTGAAAGAGGAAACCACGCCCTCCAGCGTGGTAGAATTTAGCGTCAGTCAACATTGTTGACGACGGGTGATGTTCAAAAAATATATTGACTGCTCAGAATCTATGTACGCGCTTCAATTTTATTTGTATAAAACATTCAGTATAATATAATAGAAATTGCATGGAGCTGAGGCTAACACTGAAAATTTTCACCCCTTGAAAATAATTGTCATCTTTTGCTGCGCCTCGTTTGACACTGGTTTTATTGGGATGGAACTTTTCAGTGTTACCCTCAACAACATGCAGATTTACATTTATATGATGATACAAAGTATGACATATAAAGAAGAAATCATAAATAAAGTTTGGAACTAAATGTTACGAGCAACCAATTACCTGATCCAGCCAGATGTTGGTGGTAAGGACTTGATTTTTCTCATCCTACAATATAAAAAAAATTATTTAGAAAGTTAAGGTACCATCTTGATTTCTCATTCTCTGCGAAAAAACTGGAAAACAATTATCCCCCTAAAGTGCATAAAACACTGCTTAAAACAAGAACTTAAAGTGTATTTATATGAGATTTCTTTCTGAAAGAAAGAAGACTCGTATCTGTGCCAAAAATAACACGGAGTTCTTTACCTATAGGAAACTGTATATCATTCTTCGTTTTATTGAACCCTCCTTTCAGAGATAAATGCGATAGATGAAATTGGCAGTTAAAATAGAAAGTGTAATGTTAATTTCTATTTTGAATATTCATTGTTTCTAATATTTGTCAGTTTATTCATACAACTGTCTACACTTCTGAAAACTAGTACTCTAGTATTAAGTTTATAAATCTATTTGAATGGTCCATGCAATTTTAACTGCTTGTGAAAATTCAGATAGGTAACATTCATGAATATATTATATTATATAGATCATATTATATGAAGCTTAGAGATCCCAGTGGCTGATGAGGAACAATCACTTCTAACTCGGTAAAGCAAACTGGATTATCATTATTACTTTTTGCCCACTGCCATCTATTAAACTTGTGATGTTCGGCTATCAAAGGCTTCAATTTCTTTATTGAAACACAGAAGAGAAGTTAATAGGATACGATAGCTATTTCAGTTTTAGACATGTCTGATTCTGATCAATTATGTTGAGAAAAAAAAACAACTTCATTCATTTCTGAAAAAAAGGGTTGGATAACTTTATCATAATTTAGATTGGAAAGTTTTACATATTGGCTATGCAAGTGAAATGACTTTTATAGATATAAAAAAACAAACCTTAAACATTATAAGAAAAATCCTTGGCTGGCGATTATCACTACAGTTTGTATTATTCAATCAAAATCACTCTTACTTAGTATTATTTTTACATGTTTTACAATGATAGGCTATCACCAAAAACAAAAGTACCACTGCACGAAAAAATTGTTATTTTGTTTGCTTAACGTACATTTTTCAGTAATGCTCATGCAAATTGAGTAACCAAATATAATGTTGAATGATGTGCAAGTAGCAGAAATCATAAACATAGAAACCAAACAAATCATTAATGAAGATACCTAACACAATGTAAAATTAATAGCATATGTGTATATATCTTGATTAACCACTCATGCTGCGAATATCTCTTAGAGGTTAATTTTAATTTTTTATCAATGGTAAGATTAGCTCTTTTATATCTTTTATTTCTGCTTCCACTGTCTTTTTAGCAACCTTAAAGTATCATGTATCCTTCTCACTAATCATGATAATGTCATATTTCTTTCACATTTCATGAAAATTTTATGGATTTTCTGGTAATGATTTTCAAATGAACTTTGTACTTTTAATACTTACGGTATTTTGTGAACATTTAAGAAAAGTGTCATAATCTTTGACCAGACTGCCAATCCTCACTCTTTTATAATTCTCTAAACAAGCAGATTAAAACACTTGATTGTGCTCACCAGGTCAAATATCTGATGATTTTCAATTGAATTTCTACTTCTAATACTTATGGTATTTTGTTAACATTTAAGAAAAGTGTCATAATCTTTGACCAGATTGCCATGCAATCCTAACTCTTTTATAATTCTCTAAACAAGCAGATTAAAACACTTGATTGTGCTCACCAGGTCAAATATCTGGGTCAGTGATATACTAATGTTGACGTGGACAGAGTGAGAGGCGTTGTACACGGGCCTTGTGTTTCTATCATAATTGTACATCAGCTTCTTATATAACCTCTGCTCGTCCGTCATCTGAGAACGGGAGGAATTCATACAAATCACATCTACAAACAATAACATCAAAGAGATCAGACAGCATCAACAGGTTCTGTAGATATCTCATTCAGATTTCTGCTTACTGAGTTAACAATTACTAATACATATGTATGTATAAATCTCTGCTGGTATGATGATTTGTTACATCAAATATACCCTACAATATGAAACACTACATCTATTCATTGATTTCTCCAATCATGTTGGCATATACAGTTTATGGTGTAATGAGAGACTAACAATCAAATTTGCATGTAAGCAAATACATCGTTTGGATATTATATTAAATATAATCTTATATAACTTATTTAAAGTTATAGCTATTGTAAAGTTCGTATTCTACTTTAAGAGCATATAAAACACACATTCCTAGAGTTTCCACTGGGCAAGCTTGAACCTCATCATTAGCGGTACACAATTCTGTTCGATGGTTTTCTTTATCAAAGTTAAAAGTGTTACATATTCTACACACTAGATATTGAAAAGATGCTCGTTTTTTATGTAGTTTCGGAGACCGGGTCTTCCAACTACCTGTTAGAATTCTCATGGGTACTAATTGTGCACCTTATTTGCAGATCAATTTTTCCATTTAAATGAATCAGGATTTATTAAAAAAAACTTCTACATGAAAGGAAGAACTTCTTTCAACATCACCTGAATATGGTGTTTATGTCTCCCAACTGATTCGATACGCAAGAGCATGCTCTGAGTACAATTAATTTTTGATCGACATTTAGATATTTTTACGTTTTATCAATAAACAATGTTTATTATCATACGTTTCTTAAGTTGTTTTGATATATCCCTTTGAACTCGCAATACAAGACACTGCAGAGTCTGACATACTGTTTCATATCTTGATATTTAACTAGAAAAGGAGATGGATGACAAACTAACAACTAAAGTTTATGTCTCCAAGTTGATTGTACAAGAGCATGTTCTAGAAACGGACAGTTTCTAAAATGAGACAGGCTATTGACAAATAATTTGGATGATGCATAAATATCAACAATCGCGTAAAGTCAGAATTTTACAAATTCTAAAGTTGACAAGTTGTGTTTTCAAACACAATCTGTTTCTAAGTTAAATGTTGACTAACGTTTTTCATCCAGATTGTTAGGCCATTATTTTCACACTGAATTATCTACGAATTTTTACGTCTAACCGATAATGACAAGGAGCATATGGCAGGTGTGACCGGTTGATAGTGGATGCTTACACCTCCATAACTCCTAATGCCATCTCTGTTTTCAGAGGTCCGTGTTGGCTCTTTGTACTGTTTAAATGGACTTCTGAGAATTATCACGGTTCATTTCATACAACAACTACAACAACTGTCGGGATAATACATATCTTTAACTTTATATATGGCACAATCATAAATGTAAAATAATCTTCAAGATCAATTTTTACGGAAATGACAAAACAAGAATTCCTTTGGGTACCTTGCATTTACCCAAGGGAAAATGTTTAAAGACAATGAAGTACTGATTAACAGAAATCACTGTTGTTTACATGAGTGGGCAAAATATCTACAAATGAAGTGTTCAATATATCCAACTTGGCCTATTAAAATGTTATGAATGCTTGATTTGATCACAAATTAAGTAATAAATTGTGCATTTCAATTCATTTTATTCTTGATCAGAGGGCAGATTACTCTGTCTGCATAAAAAAAACACAAATCAGAACTCTTTAGTGGACAGTGTATAGAGGGTTCTTAAACCATTTTCAATGCCATCGTTCTAGTATGTGTCTTGCTTTGAGTTGTTTTATTAAAATTATTATTTGAAGTTTCATTTTCATTCCCTGTGCAAAACCTTCTGCTGTAGCCTAGAATTCAAGAGTGATGGCGTTTAGGTTATCCACTCATTTCTTCGTCATTTTGGAAATGTTGAAAAAGTTTGATACCTGATTAAATGTCAAACCCTAACCAGAGAAATTTTTACTACTAAAAAGGGAAATAATTTATTTCATAATGATAAACAAAAAACTTTCATAAAATACCTTATAAATGGAATTTAAAAGATAGATAGGTGCAAGGAAGAAAGAAAGTGAGTGGATAATCAGGCAACCTTAAGCGTCATTTGCTCTTGAAACCGACGGTACATGAGAAGATCAATTTACAACAGATTGAATGTGGAGTACGCATGTGAGTTAAGGCTAGGTATAGGCGTTTCTATGCAAATGAGCTAATAAAAACACATAAGAGGTATATTTTTTATTTAGAGAAAGTTTTGATTTATTTTCTGATGCATAATTAGTACCCAGGATATGTTATAGCCAGTACACATTATGACGTCATATTATGACGTCATTGAACTTACCTACTGGAGGTAATAAAACACATCAACAAAACAGCTTCGGCGCAAGGGATTACTCTTTTTATTTTTACATAAAAATGTATAATGCTGAGAAGAATATTCTATAGATTTATAAAACTGCTGCACAAATCCTAGGCATTTTCTCGTTTGATCGGAATTTGAGGGAACTTACACCGGACTGTACATTTTTACCCTGATTCAACTTAAAACGTTTACAAGTGAGCTGTTGATATTTGTGCAGCAATACCAGCAATCTTTGGAATATTTTGCTTCTAAATATACCTTGTTTCAGTTAAATAAAATAGAGCATGCCCTTGCGCCGAAGCATTTTTGTTGATGTACATTATAATCTTGTGTAGTAAAGAACAATGACGTCATAATGTGACGTCATAATGTGCACTGGTTGTCTCATGTCGTGAGTACCAAGTATGCATTAGACAATAAGTTTTAACTTTCTCTGTATAATAGATATAGTCCTTAGGCACATTAATTAGTTTATTTGCATCGAAATGCCTATACTTAGTCTTAACTCACCTGCGTAGTCTAAATAATTTTAATGTACAGCTCAATGCACGATGCTTTGGTGCAAGTTGGCTGCGAAGATTATTTCAAAGCACGGAAATAAAACGGCTGTCAGAAACTTAGATGTTTGGATGAACTGAAAATGAATTCAGGAAAGCAGCATACTAAAGGCCTCCGAATGTTTTTTTTTTAAATTATTTTTTATCATTATTTTCTTGTGGTTCAGCGACTGGCTAAACCTAAGAACGGGTTTAAGTTTGTATCTTATAAAATATTACAGATATCTAAATTAAAGTTTTACTCAACAGTCAAAAAAAGTTAGAGGCATAAGTACATCAAGTATTGTGGATGAGTTCTTATTATTAAAGAGTGACATTACTTTGGGGTCAATCCTTGGATACTTCATGTAATTCCTGATTTCATTAATACTATAAAATCATCATTATTCATGAGGAATAATGTTCCAGGATTTCACCCCTTTCCCACCAATTTTTATCTCATCGAACGATAACTTTGTGTACATGTACAATGTATGTACAATTACCTTCAAAATTACATCCCCAAGAACAAAAAAAGTTGAATTTCCATGAACATTGCCTCCTACGAATTAAAATGATTCCACAGTAAGTGACAGTTTATCTGAGTTCGTAACTTCAGTATTTTGAGGTTATATGTTTATATTTTCAATATAAAATTTGTGTCAATAGTTACTATATGCAGAATAATCTAAGTCTATTCATACAAGTTTTAGTTTACTTTTAATATTATGACTTTCTCTTTGCCACTTATCCATACAATCATAAATGAAAAGCTATTCATACTCTTATTTCGCTGCTTTAAGAATTTCATTTGTAGCATTATCTCTCTAATGTTAAGACCATTTGGTCCCTTGTACATAGCAATAAGGGCTTTGAGAGAGACTGAGAACAAAGAAAGTCGTACTCAATTGCAAAAATTGAAGCATTCTCTTGTATACCTATCTTTCAATTAATATAATTGCATTTTTCAAAATTTAGATGTCAGTGTTTCCGGATCTCCCTTTCTTTATCTAATGCAATACACTGTAAAATCACATATCTTCGTTGGGTCAAATTTTCGAGGTTTGATAAAAAAATATTGGTTTGTGGGGATTAGATTTCGTGGTTGGTGAATGTTTGACACTAATGCATATGAAATTTTACATTTCGTGGTGGTAATAAATTCTCCATGCCTCGAAAACAAAAAAAATTAACCCCCTCCCCGAGAAAATTAGTGATTTCACAGTATGTAAACAAATATACAAACGTAAAAAGCGTCACAATAAAAGACGAGGTATGGTAACGGACGTAACTGTCCCCTTATTTGATGTAAAAATCAGAACACAGTTAAAATTGTGATAGTTTGTAATTAAGAACTTAAAATGATGTTTGTTTTAAAGCCAGCACTAAATTTGATTCAAAGCTTACACGGAGGCCACAAGAGGGTGCAGGAGTGAGACATTTTCCCGAATTTCCTCAATTCTGGCCGAATTTTGTCAAATTTAAGTTACTTTTCACATCGGGAAACATAGAGCACAAGCATGCCTATCTGAGATTTTTATACGTAAGATGCATCTGATACTAGTGTATGAAATATATCAATTTGGTAGATAGGCAAGCTTGTGCTCTATTTTTTCTGAACCAAAATGTGCTGTAAAATCGATGAAAATTTGCATAAAAGTGAGAAAATTCGAAAATTGACATTTTTGACCTTCCTGTGACCTCTGTGTATCCCATAACTTAGAAACAATACTAATTTTGAGGCAGGGGTGACAACAGGTTTTTAATTGATAAACTTTTGTATCATTCTAAAAGACACCCCAAACTAGGGACCAAAAGGGGTCTTAGCCTATTTTGTCCTTTCCGTCAATGAAAATATAACGATAAAAGGCAGCAAAAAATTCAAATATTGAGTGTGTTTTTTTAGGTTTAAACATTTAAAATGTAAATGTAAAAAATGGATTTTAGTTTGTGAATGTTATTATTGTGTAAATCACACAGCCTTGCACATAGGGAATTTTTCCTGAAGCGCTATTGCGCTTTATGAAAAATGCCGACGTAACAAGTCTGTGTGATTTACACATAAATAACACTTTCAAAACTAAAAAAAAATCCTGAATCAGAATTAACATATCCACTTTAAGAGACTATAAAACTAGGAATATTGAGCAATATATAAATCGATTTAGACTCATTCATTTTGAAATGATATTCATCTTTTGAAAATTGTTATACTATGCAATTTAATGTTGACATGATTGAATTATGAATGAAACAATGGTGGTTTCTAATACCCTTCCAAAGATATATCAATGTTATATTTGGTTCAATTGAATTCGAGGAAAAAAATTTAATCTCTGATCAAGGTCTTCCTATAGCATCGTTAGGTAAGAAATATATTGTGCTATACATGCAACAGATAGAGTGTGCTTAATTCAATAGAATGTTTAAAATTAAGCGGTTTTGTTGTAATTGGACTTTCCCAAATCATTTTCAAAGTGCTATCATTCCCCCTATTTCCTTCAATTTCACATAAAATCAAAGTAGTTTACGTTTATTGAAACGCAGTGGGAAAAAATATCAAATTATCTCGACAGCAAATTCCATCTGGACTTCTGAAAATATTAATAGCCTTTGTTGCGATGCATATTGAATTACGTAACATAAAAATGTGCCTTGCATGTCTGAACGCTTCTAGACCCAACACGAAGTCTGCCCTCTCAAAGTATTTAGCGTCAACTTTCATTTTTATACTTGTTTCAGAATCTGAAACTTATTTTTTCTTTAAACGGTTCATTTCTATAAAAGTGTCAGACATGTTATAAAACTAGCCGAAAAGGAACCGATACCCTGTAAATGGTAAATAAACCAAACCAGCCATGAAATATACATTTCTTTTTTGTGTTGAAACATACTTTATTGTACGATTTTTTAAGGAAAGCAGCAGATATATTGATAACTATATTGTACATGACCAACTGAATGGTATGATTGCTAAATAAATTTATCTACGTTATCATTTTGCCGAAAAATATATTTGTGTTTGTATTTTAAAATTAGAATCAATTTACTTAGTAATTTAAAAAAAAAATAACCTTCAAACTACATGTATGTATTTTTTTGAAATAATTAATAGAGGGAGTTTTGAAAAATAAAAAATAAAATCCTAAAAAAAAAATAATAAAAATAACGACGAAATGAATGTTGAGTGTCTTTTTGAAAGAATTCAGAAATTAAAGAAATAAAACACAATACGTGAGATAATTCAATGATCCAAAAGATGTGTTGCTATAATTGTGCTTCAATCAAAAATGTGAATCCCAAAAATTAAAGCTAAAACAACAGACAGGATCTGTCTTAATGCATATCCAAAATTTTGTTTTCTCAAAAAAAATACTTTGCAATGAAAAAATTCTTACCTGCATAAGCATCAAGCAGGCAGATGCAACAAAATAAAAAGGCCAAAACACCAATTGACGTCATGTCTGTTAGTCATTCGGAAAGGCAAGTATCTGAAACAATTGTAAAAAATATTAGTGTACTCATAGATCGGGCGAAAAATATCTATATATCATTTAAATTGTCAACATCTTTCTAACTTTATTGTTTTCATAATTTCTTACTTGATGGTGGATTTGAAAGGTCAAATGAAATAAACTTTAAAAATTTGACTTTTTTAATTATAAACCAGCATTGATATTAATAATACAGCTTATTATAAAACAAACATTACCCAGGTCAAAGTGTTAAAAAAACGATTTCGGAAGTAGTCTCAAGGTTCCATTCTATCTGTCTTGTTTGTTATAAAATACCCTTGGACTGGAGTACAAAAGAGTATAGTTATATAATTATGTAATTGAAATTTCGAAGTTAAAAATAATTTTCTAGAAGTTTAAGATGACAAAGATATATAACGACTTTTCTTTAAGAGACTGCAAAATATTTTTTTAAACAAGATAGAAATGTTTGTGGAGATCTTAGTAATCTGACATTTCACACACCTGAAGGTGTTTACAAAATAAATTCCGTAATGTTTTCTCAGTACAGAAAAATTGTCCATGATTTACATTACTTCAATTACGTAAAGCCTGAATTCAATAACTGTTTAGCCTTCTCTCTGTCTTTCACCCAATTACAATAACAATAATTATTGCACTGCATACAAAAGACAAATATTGCATTGCATACAGCTGACAAAATATTCACAAATAAAAAATTTAGTGCTCAAATCTTTAGCTGTTGTTCTTCGTTACATTAACGTATTTTGTTTCTCGTACATTTAAAGCGGTATTACTTTAGAAATCAAAACATAGATGCTAATATTCCTCTTCCCCAAAAGAAATTTAAGGATTGGATTTCAAAACCTCACTAGAGTATTTAGATGGACATATTGGAGATCATGGAACTAATGTCTATAATGAACGAAAGTGTGCCCAAATAATACCTGATATTAAATTTGTAATCAGAAAAACTAACCATTCCTTGTAACTTTGTATTTAACAAGGGTACTTTCTATCTAATCACCGTAAGTTTCTCAACCATTCAGAATTCGATAAAGTGAAATGTCTGAACATAAAAATAATAATGCTCTGCAGATAACAGTAGTTAGCAAAAAGAATCTTCCCTTGTAACAACTTGTTCTCTCTCTCTCTCAATACGATTTCGTTAGGTGTGTATTGTTTGGGTTTTTCTTTTTTTTATTAACTTCGTGTGTGTCAAAAATATCGTTATCTATAAAATAAATACGATGAAAAGGAAATAAAGAGGGCGTTCTGTTTAACTTCGTATAATTAGCTCACAACGAATAAATCATATGTTGATATGTATACGCAAACGATCTGAAGATTACGCTTGAGTTAACTTTCTATGATAACATCATCACTTTTTGACGCTTCTTGCCTCTCAGATATGTTATTTGACAATTTATACATGTGCCTTTCTCAAAAATTCGGATTTTGTTAATTTGGCTTCGTACTCATAGAAATGCATATTATCTTTTCAAAATATAATAAGATGTTAATAAAAAATAAATATATTAAAGAAAATCGTAAGTAATAACTGAATTTCTTGACAAGATAATTTTACGCAATCTTTTCCACTATCTTTCATACGCATTCAACTTTGATCAAGTCTTTATGCATCTAATCATGAAACAGTTTTAACACAATTGAAAATAAGATACAATTTTCTGAATCTTAATTTCTGTCTTGAAATAATGTTGAGACCGACATGAAAAGAATATGTAATAACAAAGAATTTATCCCTTATATTGAAACCATAACATCATTCGAAGAATGTTTCTTTATAACAAAGAATAATTTCGATTGAAAATAAAGTTTAGCTGACTAAATAAACCTACAAAATCTACTTACATCTGTTGATCGCGGGTCAATGCTGTCAGCAGAATTTGATGATATAGAAAAGAAATCAACAAAGTGCAGTCATGTATGCTGACAAAACTGAGGCAACATGTGCAACATTTACACAAAGTCAATATCTAACTCAGCAAACAAAGCTATATACCTTTATTACTATAATTGTTTTATTTATAATTAAACGTGCTGTACTTCAAAGATTTAGATTAGAATTTCATTGTGTTCGATTGATAAAATTCATAGTCAACAGATACTTATATTAAGAAATTATTTTTAATATAAACTCATTAATCTTGCCTCTTCCCTTTCACATTTATTGCATGAAACACAACATAACATTAAAGACCTGTTTATTTGGAATTTTTGCTCTTGATTTTTCAACTCCCACAACTTACAGAAAGTTTAATGTAAAAAAGGTAAAGAGAACGAACAGTGATCAATCTGAAAACCCTGTATACAATACTAATCGTTACTAGGACAGACCCAGAGTCTCTGGAAACACCAGAGATGGGATCAAGAGCCTAGGAGGAGTAAGCATCTCCTGTCGACCCGTCAAACCCAATGTAAGCTCACTGAATTATCAGGTAAACGGAGGGATCCTAAGTCATAATCGGTAAACTTATTTAAAACAATGGCTTAACAGTTGGTAGGAAATATGTATTAAAAATAAAACAAACAAAAAACCGACCCAACCATAAGTTGTGTTTTGCAAACAATGTCATTATAACGATCATAGCACCGGTCACGGCAGCCTAGTGGTAGGGCGTAAACTTCGTGATTAGGAGGCCCGGGTGCGATTCTCGTTCGCCACGCCGATTCAAACCTACGACGTATACATAGGTCGTGACTGTTCCTTTGCCAAGCGCCCGGCATTAGAAATGAAAGTCACGATCACGATTTAAAACAGAGTTCCCGTGTCACTGTAGACGTTGGCACGATAAAGATCCCTCACTGCTTAATTAATTGCCCTGCGTGCCGAGGGTCTAAATTTTAAGACCTTCACCAGTATATGGTGATGTCTCTATATGAGTGGAAAATTCTTGAATGGGATGTCAAGCAACATACAATCAATCAATCAAATTACGACCATAGAATTTGCAAAATGCTGACTTTATACGAGAGTGATGAAAGTCCTGAAACATCATCTCTTTTGTCATTAACCTACCTCAGTTTAAAAATTGATCGTTCTCAGAACATGTTCCTATGTTCTATATCCATGGGAGACATTATTATTTTACTACATAGACAGGGGAAGTTGAGGCCACAGTAAGAGGATTGTCTTATCATGTAGATTTTTTTCAATATCTTCTGAGTCATAATAATATAAAAATAGGTCGACTTACAAAGAAGCATGGTAAGTGTCCATCGGATTCGAACAAAATTTTGGAAGACCTGGTTTTCTATGGCTACATAAATATTGTTACTAAGGAACTCCAACATCTTTTAATATCAACGTCTGTGTATTTGTGAGTATAATCAGAATGATTAATAGAATAACAATACCAAGATATGAAAATTTCCTAGTGACATAATTATCAAAGAAGCGGTTGTATATGATGTTTTTGACGTCAAAAAGTTCGGTCTTTAACTGATTGTGAAGAATGATTGTGTAAAGAGTTGAAAAGTCATAATTTTGATGTTATTGATTTTGGAAAAAATATCCATTTTAACCTAAAAGTTACATTTATATATTTTCTGTATATTTTCTGTAGTATACTTTGGAAATTTTTATGTCCCCATAATAGAAGATTCGGGGGTATATAGTTTTTGCCCTGTCCGTCCGTCTGTCCGTTTGTCCTTTAACATTGCTTATAACTTTTAATTGGTTGGAGTTATGGCTTTCATATTTCGCATGAGTACTCCTTGTGATAAGACTTTTCTTTGGGTACCATCATATTTGACCTTTTGACCTTGACCTAGGAGTTTGACCCAGTTTTGCAAAATTTTACCCAACTTCAACCTTGTTCATAACTTTTGAACAATCGGTGCTAGGACTTTAATACTTCAATGTGTAATCCTTGTCACAAGACCTTCCTTTGTATACCAACACCTTTTACCTTTGACCTTGAACTTGGAGTTTGACCTACTTTTGGAAAACTTTAACATTGACCATAACTTTTGAACAGTTGGTGCTAGGGCTTTCATACCTCATATATGTAATCCTTGTGACAAGACCTTTCTTTGGATACCAACAACTTTGACCCTTAGACCTTGGAGTTTGAAAAACTTTAACCTTGGCCATAACTTTTGAATGAGTGGTGTTAGGGTACTCATATTTCATATAATGTAATCCTTGTGACAAGACCTTCGTTTGGATACCATTAATTTTGAACATTTGACCTTAACCTTCATGTTTGACTTACTTTTGGAAAATTTTAATCTTCTCCTTATCTATTCAATGGTTGCTGTTGGGGCTTCCATATTTCACAGGTATATTCCTCGAGACAAGACTTTACTTTGGGTACCAACATATTTGATTTGCATTTGAGAAAGTTTAACCTTCGCTATAAGTTGCCATACGGGGGCATCAGTGTTTCACAAACACATATTGTATAATTAGGTGTTACAGATAGGTAGCCTGCTGGTAGGGCGTTCACCTCGTGATCGGGAGGCCCGGGTTCGATTCTCGTTCGCTGCGCCGCGTCAGACCTAAGACGTAAACATAGGTAGTGATTGTTCCTTTGCCAAGCGTCCGGCATTAGAAGTAAAAGTCACGAGCCTTTTAGAGAGATTTAAAACCGAGGTCCCCTGTCACTGTAGGCGTTTGCACGATAAAGAACTCTCACTGCTCAATGACTCTACCCTTCACCGGTATATTGTGACGTCTCTACATGAGTGAAAAATTCTCGAATGGGACGTAGAGCAACATACAATCAATCAATCTATGAGGTGTTTTATGGTTTGCATGCAATAAACAAAAAGAAACTGGAAGATAAATTGTAAAATCAAATTATTCTTCATTTGTAAGGAGGGGGAGGCAGTTAGTACACCTGTTAAGGTGTTATCACAATATACCTAAACATATTACAACAAATGACATCAATTACTCTAGCAACGCAGTTTTAATTCTTAATGGCTTCCATTTTTTTAAAGGTCCTAAACCAGGAACCTATC